CGGTCTTTCAGAAGTCTGTCCTGTGTTATTGGTACTTTCACGTTGTGGCCAGGTAGTTGTCTGAATAAACTGAAATGAGGACAGTCAGGGGTTGGGCTGAAATGAAATTGCTAATTCAGTAGTGCACTGATCCTGCGTTGAGTCAGGAGAGACGAGAGTTTTGATGGTATTCTGTGGCTCACAACTTGCTGCTTCACCACAAGTTGCCGTGCAAGTCACTGTAAGATGGACCCTTTACCCTCATGGGATATGGGTGAGTGGGAAGTTAGGGCCCCCCAAATTAATTTCCTGGTAGAATCCAACCAATTGTGCTATTACTTTGTGGCACTCCAAGAGATGGTGTGGTTTAATTAAGAAATGTTACAAACCCTTTCATGTGCAAAGTTCTTATTTTTAGACTAAACCTGCAGGAAATTTTGAGTAATAATGTGGACACAAGGGATCTGTAATCATGCAAAGGAGCACTAAAATGTTTCATAAAGAGGATAGGTTGCAACTTTGGTCATGGTTCAGAAGCCTCCGTTACATGCAGCATGTCAATAAAACTCAGACACCTGAGTTGGTAAAGAGGTAATATGGGGTGAGAGAAGCTGGGAAACACCTTGGTGGTACACAAATAGAGAGAGATTGCTGAAAGGCAGTCTGTGAGCTGCTGCTTACTGTAACAATGAGCATTGCACAGTGAGAGGTTTTCATCTAGCTGAATCAACAAGTTGTAAATGAGGTCATGAGCTAGTTAATACATGTGTTCTTGTCTAGCAATGTTTAACTTAGCGTTTCTGCTTATTATTGTTTTCACAGTTTATTTTCTCCACTGGCGCCTAAATCTGTACCGTCTTGCACGAGAGGCAGTGGAAGTTCTCTGCTTCCTTGTGCTTCTGAATAGGTACTGAGTGGGAGTCTGTGTATTTGTAAGATTGGCAGAATGTGTCTTCTATAGTGCTCCTTATAGCTGTAAGCCTAAGGGTGTAATTCTGTTTCTTGGTGGCGTAGCGCTGGGGCACTATGACTGTATTCAGGAAAGAGTTTCTTCTCTCTTGTCTTTATATTTTTTTTTTTTTAACATGCGTTAAAGCGGTTTCTTTACTGGGGCAGGAATTGGGCTTCACTGAGCCTGCTGCTTACACTTAGACAGAAATGTACTTGGCGAGTTAAAAGGGACAAGACACCAAGTCCCAAGAGTGCAAATAGCATGTGCGGCCTAAATCGAGGGAGGGGAGTGCTCATTGCAGATGTAAAGCTTAAAAAACTTTGGATGGAAGCGGGCATTAGTTACTGTTGACCCATGTCTAAACGTTACACAGTAAGATGACTGTTTCTCAGACTGTAAATCCTTGTGTGTGGAGAATCTCTCCAAAGAGATACATATTTTCAACATCATGTTTTCTTCTGACAGAGGAGGTGCAAATGAAAACAGAATGTAATGATTTAGATGAGAAAGCTACTGTGAGAAATTTCATTTCCTGGTCCTTTTAATTTGAAGTACAATGTTGTGTATGCATATACTAATCACATCATATGTCCAGGTGAGAACAAAGGGAATATAAAATTACTGCTAGTATGTCTGAATTTGAGCTTGTCTTCCTTTTCTTCTGCAATGAGACGGTTTGGTAAATAATTTTTTTTTTTGGCAGAGACATTGTCAATAAAAATGAGGTTGGTACCACTTTGAGAATAGGGCCTCTGCAGCAAAATGCAAATATTGCAGTACGAATTGTGTTGAAATCTCTCTCTTATCAAGTCACAAGATGGAATTGTAAATAAGAGTGAAAGGGAACTACTTTAAATGTCGCTCACTCTCCCCCTCTTCAAAATCTAACAATTAGAGCGAACGGCTGCTTCACAGTGAACATTTAAATTCAGTCGCAAATTCGTGAGCAGTGGAGTTCATTGCTCAAGCTTCTGCAGTAACCTTGGCTGTCTTGTGCTGCTTCCCTGTGCAGTGTTACAAACATCTGTGTGATATGGAAGCCCTCTGTTTAGAAGTCACAGATGTGACAGTAGTCTTTTCATCTTTTGATTTGTATTTAGACTTTTTTTTCACTCCTTCAATATATCCTGATATATTTTAGTTAAAGTTGTGATCATGTAGAGAAGAATAAACTTCAGTCACTTCTAAAATACTCCTGTGTAGCATGGCTGTGTTGGAGTGCAGTTACTGCCCTCTAAAATGTCTTCCTTTTACAGAAATTATCCTAGCACCACTCAAGTACATCATCGTGTTGCCAAGGAGCAGACTTTCATGTGATAGAATAAGGTAAAGAAGATGGCAGAGCTTAAATGCAGATACAGTAAACAGGTATTCTTAAACTATTTATAGAGTAATAGAGGAGTAAAAGACTACATAATAAACTCCATTTAGTTCTCCACCTGAAGGTGAGTCACAGACTACAGTGAGAAGGATAGGTTTAGAGAGATTCAGCTCAAGCGCTGGAATGATACATGGTTGTGCCACATAGGTTGTTCCACAGAGAAAATTGTCACTAACTAAGCAATCAAGGGAAGGTGATGAATACAGCAGAGACAGGGTGTTAAGAATGTCTGCAGATGATGTGAGAGCTGCTGGAGCTGGCTCGTGATGCTGCGGTGTGGTGCGGAGTAGTTAAGTGTCTTCATGGAGATTCTGCTCTTGTCATTTGTGTATTTGGTAGAAGAAAGGTGCTGAACAGAGAAGATGAATTCCATAAAATACAGGTGTTTGCTAAGAAAACTGATGATGTAGAACATCTGCTGTGTTGTATTAACTAGAAATATGTTATTCTGTGTAAAACAGTTGCTACAAGGAAACTGTTGTAGTGCTTTGTTTCAGGCCCCTTTAAAAAGCTCAAAATAAAAATCATAGAGTCACAGAATGCTTTGGGTTGGAAGGGACCTTTAAGGGTCATCTAGTCCAACCCTCCTGCAATGAGGAGGGATATCTTCAACTCGATTGGGTCACACAGAGGCCCGTGCAACCTGACCTTTAATGTTTCCAGGGATGGGGTATCTACAGCCTCTCTGGACAACCTGTTCCAGTGTTTCACCACCGTTATCATAAAAAATTTCTTTCTTATATCTAGTCTGAATCTACCCTCTTTTAGTTTAAAACCATTACCCCTTGTCCTGTTGTGACTGGCCCTATTAAAAAGTCTGTCCCCATCTTTCTTATAAGCCTCCTTTAAGTATTGAAAGGCTGCAATAAGGTCTCCTTGGAGCCTTCTTTTCTCCAGGCTGAACAACCCCAGCTCTCTCAACCTTTCCTCACAGGAGAGCTACTCTAGCCCTTGGATCACTTTTGTAAATGATCAAATGGATACTGTACAGAAACTAGTGATGGTCACTCATATGATACTTCATTTCAATCAGCTTTTGAAAGGGCATATCCTCAGACAAATGTGCAACTTGTCACATACACTTTATGAAAGTACTTGAAAAATTAAATACATAAATTGTATATTTGTATTTTTAAAGAGGTAAGTAAATAGGCTCTGTCTGTCTATCATCACTCCTATCATCTGTTGTATCTGAATTGATCTTTGGCATCCTGTGGGTCCTGATGCCTTTTCTAGGAGCATGTTGCGAGTTACCTTCTTGAAGACCTAACTATTGGTAGAATTTTACAGAGATGGCTTATTGAAGGTGGCAGATATTAAGTAGTAGATATTAAGAAATACTTCTACGTAAATACTGACTGACTCTGAAATTGTATCTTTTTCAAATGTTGGAACATACTGTGTTCCCAAGCTGTTTTATAGTAGCTCGTTGTCCCACTACTTACAAGTGCTTAATCTAGAGTTATGTTATTTTCTTAAGTATTTTTGAAAAGCTCAAAATATAAATTAATTCAGTTAAAAACGCTGTGCTTAGTGTTTCTGAATAGATGGATGAAAATTTAAATATAACCTGACTAGTATAGCTGTAAGTGTCAGGATAAGTTCCTCTATATAGCGTTTTGTTCTTAGCTGCAGGGAAGTTGTTAGCTGTTGCTGGTTTTTCTCCCCTAAATGAATTTCAGTGCCAGGCACTTAAGCTGACCTTCAGAAAGAGCATGAGTGCACTGCATTGTGATGGAGAGCTCAGAAATAAAGATTATTAAGGGCACCATGTGCTGGGTTTTTTGCCTGCAATCTGTCTGGTGAAGAGAAGCGGATGGACATGTACCACCCAGTTGTGAAGTGGACTTCAAAGTACCGCTTTATTTAACTACTCTAATGAGAGCAGGTATGAAAAAAAAGTCAGAGTTCTGGTTTTTGGAGAGGCTGCTGAGCAGCCAGGCTATGGTCTTGAAGAGTAGAGCTTTATCTGCATCGGGCCTTATTACAGTCTTAGTAAATGCTAACAAGAAGTGAAGGAACTGCTGGTGTAAATGCCTACAAATCCTAGGCTTATCTTTGATTGCCTTGAGTGCCAAGTCTTGTCCTTGATTTATGCAACACTGATAGCTTGAATGTGCTTTAATATTACTAGTATGGAGAACAGCCTGTGTCCCCATCTCAAATTATGGACGTGCAAAGTGTCTTTACACCATGAAGATACAGTGGAAGAATTAAAGTGTTTAACGCTGATCAGCGTGGAAAAGTGTTGTGTGTGTCCTTTGCTTGAAGAAAAGGATTTTTTTACATCAGTTGACTGAGCTTGTAGGATGGATAGGCTTTTTTCCCTGCTACACTGAAAGAAGAGGGAGACCCGGGCCTGTTTTCTCTTTCTTACATAGGTTATGTTAATTAAGTCTTGTTAAAATACTGCGGATCAAGTCCACTTCTTGACATCTAGATATAACTCTACTAGCTTCTGTAAGATTATTTCTGTTCATTGTGGGGGAAAAAAAAAAGAGAAAGTGGCAGGTTTTTTGTGTGCTTTGTGTTTTGATGAGAGGAAAATGTAGGTACATGAATTTTAAAACCAAATAAGATCAAATGTGGTTAAAGAGATCTGAGTAACTTGAGTGTTAATTCATATTTTAAGAAATTTGGGATTAGATAATATTTTTTTGAAATTGCAACCTCTACTTTTTGTTACAGGTTATATTTTAAGTGTTGTGCTCCTAACTTTACCGAGGCAACACCTGGTTCAGCTTTACCTGTACTTTCTGACTGCACTGCTGCTTTACGCTGGGCACCAAATTTCCAGGTAAGAATAAATGGATTAATTTTGTTAGCTTGGCTTGGGAATTAGAAAAATAATGGTATTTTGTTAATATCTTATATAAATTGGGTAGATCTGGTTTTGTTGGGACCTTTTTTCCATGCCAGACACCTAAATACATCTTGCTGTTCTTTGTCTTGATAAAGGTTACAGAATTAAATATGCAGTCAAGTAGTCCTGGTGTATTTTCACTAACTTAAAAGGAATTTCGAGCTACTTTTCTGTGGAGTGTAATGTCCACTAATCTGAGGAGAGAAAGCACTTGCCACAAGACTAAATGTGGCCTCTGACGTAGTAATTGGAGTTACTCAATGGCTCGACTAACATGCTTTCGACACTGGAGGATTTTACAAAGTAGACAGGATGTTACTTTCAGTTTCCTGGCACCTAGGATGAGAAAGCAAATAGTGATGTGGAAGATGGTAAAGGTAAAGTAATAGTGGAATTTATTCTTAAATTCATCTTTGTGTAACATGTTTTACAAAAGACAGGTGTTTTGGATCTAAAATGCAGAGCAAGAGGCTAGAGAACTTGTGAGTCAGACAAGACAAAGTCAGCCATTTTTGTTTGTTTGGCTCCAGCTAAATCTGTTGAGAGCCAATGTAAACTCTCATTCTGACAGGATGTTTAATTGGAACCAAAGAGAGTGCCGTCACATTAATGGCTGTACATGGGAAGTTTTGAAAATACGGACTTGAGCCTGACTTATTTTAGTGCCTGCTGATGGGAAACATTTAAAAATGTGCTTCTGATTGATTTAAGTGAAATGATAGGTTTGTTATTTCTGCATCAAAATTGTTGTTCCAAAGCATTTGCTGGAATATCTCTTACTGGGTATGTTGCAGTTCAGGCAAGTGTTAATGAACGTTTTGTGGCAACTTGACGTGTCGCTGTTGTGGCTGTCAGAGCTGCAGTTAATGATTTCCTGAATGGATGAGGGTGCAAGAGAGGAATGAATTATGGCCTCTTATTGCCTGGGTAGGAAGGAAGGAGGGTTTTTTATCATCCTCAGGGGAGTCCTGAGTTTTTATAGATACAGTTTGTGGGTGTTTCTTATAGGGTTGAAGGCTTACTTCTTAGGAAAAGCAACCTAAACATTATTTAATAACTTGTGCTGAAATAAAAATAAAGCTAGTAACAAATACCCATCACATGCAGGGCTTTGGTCCAGAACATTTACAACTAGAGAACTTTATGCCATTCTGGATCTTTAAATTTTTTAAAAGAAAGGGAGATGATACAGATTTTGCTTGATACATTAAGGGATAGCACTGTGTTTCATTTTAATACCTTTTTTGTTTGTGTGTTTATGTAATGTGAATTGTGACTTCTTCTGATTTGAAACTTTATGGGCTTCATTGAAACATGTTAGATAACTATTGCTTGGACTACTTGGCGTATTGGTACTAAACTTTATCTATTTGATGCTTCTGGAGTGAGTTAATAAAGACTTAATTAAATCTTGCATCAACTGGCACAAAAAAATACATTTAATTAAAAGATGTCTTGGATTCAAATAGTCCAGCAGTATTCCCTAGGTATTTTGCAAAGCAAATGTAGTTGCTAACACTTCTGAGTGAGCTTACCTATTCCCTAGACATAAGACTGACTTGATTTGGAAGGAAGCGCTGTACAGGGGGTTCTCAGCAGCAGCCTTTGTATAATGTGGGGAGTGACACTTGCATTAGCTTTTCAAAAGAATTTTTGAATCCCATTAGTTTTCATGTTGAAAATAGTAAAAAGTAACACACAAACATAATGTTAGTGGAGCTATTCCTTTTCTTGCCAAAGCTATCCAATTCCAACTGACGTTTCTGTTTAGCAGACTGATCATAACAAGATACACAGCAGTCACATGTGCAAACTGTTCCTGAGTGGTTTTGTTGTTAACAATTCTGCTTAGAGCTGAAAACTTCCATTGAATTGCTCGCATGCACTACCAGTTGGGATGCTATTTAAGACAGATGAAGAGGTCTCAAATTGAGGCCAGTTTGGTTAATGCAAATTATAGAACAAGACCAGAATCATCTGGCACTTGTGACTCTGCAGTGTCCTGGAAATTCTGAGCTATTGAAAGACTTCAGCTTTCAGTGCTTTTTTTCCACCCCAGAAATAGCTTGCGGTTC